TGTCGACGGCCCCTCATCTTCGTAAGGTCGACACTTACTTTGCAGGAGTGTCTGAACATAGCCTATTTGTCAATAGCTAAGGCACAAAGGGGACAGATCATTAAATGATCCAGCGAGATCCTGGCTTTGGAATTCGCATTTATCATTATACCACACACAGTCTTATTATTCTATAGAATAACAATCTATTTCTTAAGCATAGCCATTGCATGTTTAAGGTCTTATTTTACACCCTTTGTTTTCTGAAGTAACACAATCTAATAGATTGTCATAATCCTAGCATTATTGATAATTCTTAAGTGAATCTGGAGCTGTGCTGCAGCTCTTGATTTTGCATTAATTTTAATGATATTCACATTTTTTACCCTCAACATCTGTTACACAACCATATATATTCAAAACATCACTACATTATTTCCTTTTTACACAATGCATTCCGTTAGTTGTACAATCATTTAAAATTTCTCTACATTCATAGTCCTGAGTGAATAGTAGATTTTGGCACACTTTTTCTACACATTTTTCATTCTAAGAATCCCAAAAACAATTATTTTTTTTGCTTTCAAAGCATTAATAATCATTAAGATATTATGAACACAATACATCCATAACCGATTTCACTTATTGTACATCCATCTAGGCCTGATTTACACATTTAATGATTAGTTAAGTAGATTGGTAAGCCTTCACAAGTTGTGACATCTAAGCATTTTTTTTCCATCCCTCCAATCCAAAAGCAGTATTTATTATACTTATTTTTATTGGCACATCCATTCTCTGTTTTGTAATCACTACATTCTTATATTTTTACACACTTTCAGCCATCAGACACACATTTATATGAAGATTCTTAACAATTATCTTTATCGAATACCATACAATCTACAAAATCAATACATTAACCAAAATAAAAGCCACATAATTCTTATTCTCGACAATCCTCTTATGCATATTTCTTGCATTGATTCGAAATACTCATCTCCGAATTGTATGATTGACCGGGTTTTAAAATACATTTGTCAATGTCCCAAATGCAAAAGCTAGAGTCTTTGCACTCTTTTTCTGTTCCAACATGCCCACAAACATATTTTTTTGAAACCTCTGAACTTAGTATTACACATAATTGGTAAAAAAAAAGTTAATAGAACATTTTAAATCCTGTTAATTTTTCTAAAATTCGAATTAGAAGGGTTGTTTAAATATTTCTGTAATATAATTGTAATAAAATAATATTAAATGATTTAATGCAAAAATGAGAGGATGATAGTTTACTCATAAGACTCATTTGAAATTTTGCATTTCCTCTAGAATTAGAATTTACTAGGTTCATATTTCTATAATTAATTCGTTGAATTAACTTTGATAATAGAATACATAAATATATTTTACTCTTTGTATAAATTCAAGACTTTAAGCTTTAATTTCTTTTATCTGAAATTAAATACATTTTAGTAGTTCATTTTTACATTAACTTTTATTTAATGAAGTTTATAAAAATAAAAAATAATCAATCCTGAAACTCGAACTCTAATAATTCTTTACACTTGTAATACTATCTTCTTCATGAAAAAAATGTTATGATAATAATAACCTACTAAATTTATTGAACAACCTTAACCATAAAAGTCTCAATGAACATATTATTGAATAATCTATAAAGAGTAAAAAATATTATTGGAAATTCGATTCAAATAAATAGAATGGCAAATCTAAGGAAAAATTTTTATTCCTCTGGTACTATATAAATGATTGACGAAATTATTTGCAATTAAATTTATTGAAAATTTTAGAGGCGGTAGTTATACCTATTAATTGAAAATGGAGAAAATTATCTTTATAGTTAGAAATGAATATTTAGATAAGTTTTTTTTAATAAATTAAGTTGAATTTCATACCTTATTCCATTTCATCCCAATATTTCATGTCTTATCTCATCATACCATAAATTTTTCTTTAATCATTTCATGTCTGACATCTAACTCATATCAGGGCTGTTATATTTCTCATAAAAATAATTAGTTAAGCGATTCTTTTTCATGATTTAAAAATTACCTGTTCCATATTTTAACTTTAGAATTGTTAAGTAAAATCATTATTCATTTAAATTAAAATAGTTAAGTTTCATATTATTTCTTGCAATGCTTTTGATGTACTTTCTAATCTGAATCAATTTTTATTTATGAAGTTTATTTCTAATATGTTTACTCAAGAACAAACGTTTAATATTATTTTAAACTGACTATAACTGATATGCATAATAATAATAAGATTAATTCAAATTCAAGGTTTTATGTTGAGCCAATTTCCTGTTGTTTTATTTCTATTTTCTGATAGTAGGTATGATTTTACGTCTACCTCAAAAATTATGCTCGTATTATTTTGAAAAATTATAAATTATAAATATAATTGCTAATTATTATATTTTCAATTTAAAAAATTCTAAAACAACTTTATTACCTTGTTTTCAAAATGTAAGTTAGCTTTCATAGATATTTCATATTTAATAATATTGTTTGGTAGCTAAAGCTTCCATTCCAATTAACTAGCATTCATAAATTCATTCCTCCATTCCTCCTTTACATCATACATTTAATTTAAGTGTTTCTAATAACTTTTTGAAAAATGTATGATCTTTTATTTGTTACTTAGTAATCCTAACCTTCTTTATCNCCATCTAGGCCTGATTTACACATTTAATGATTAGTTAAGTAGATTGGTAAGCCTTCACAAGTTGTGACATCTAAGCATTTTTTTTCCATCCCTCCAATCCAAAAGCAGTATTTATTATACTTATTTTTATTGGCACATCCATTCTCTGTTTTGTAATCACTACATTCTTATATTTTTACACACTTTCAGCCATCAGACACACATTTATATGAAGATTCTTAACAATTATCTTTATCGAATACCATACAATCTACAAAATCAATACATTAACCAAAATAAAAGCCACATAATTCTTATTCTCGACAATCCTCTTATGCATATTTCTTGCATTGATTCGAATTACTCATCTCCGAATTGTATGATTGACCAGGTTTTAAAATACATTTGTCAATGTCCCAAATGCAAAAGCTAGAGTCTTTGCACTCTTTTTCTGTTCCAACATGCCCACAAACATATTTTTTTGAAACCTCTGAACTTAGTATTACACATAATTGGTAAAAAAAAAGTTAATAGAACATTTTAAATCCTGTTAATTTTTCTAAAATTCGAATTAGAAGGGTTGTTTAAATATTTCTGTAATATAATTGTAATAAAATAATATTAAATGATTTAATGCAAAAATGAGAGGATGATAGTTTACTCATAAGACTCATTTGAAATTTTGCATTTCCTCTAGAATTAGAATTTACTAGGTTCATATTTCTATAATTAATTCGTTGAATTAACTTTGATAATAGAATACATAAATATATTTTACTCTTTGTATAAATTCAAGACTTTAAGCTTTAATTTCTTTTATCTGAAATTAAATACATTTTAGTAGTTCATTTTTACATTAACTTTTATTTAATGAAGTTTATAAAAATAAAAAATAATCAATCCTGAAACTCGAACTCTAATAATTCTTTACACTTGTAATACTATCTTCTTCATGAAAAAAATGTTATGATAATAATAACCTACTAAATTTATTGAACAACCTTAACCATAAAAGTCTCAATGAACATATTATTGAATAATCTATAAAGAGTAAAAAATATTATTGGAAATTCGATTCAAATAAATAGAATGGCAAATCTAAGGAAAAATTTTTATTCCTCTGGTACTATATAAATGATTGACGAAATTATTTGCAATTAAATTTATTGAAAATTTTAGAGGCGGTAGTTATACCTATTAATTGAAAATGGAGAAAATTATCTTTATAGTTAGAAATGAATATTTAGATAAGTTTTTTTTAATAAATTAAGTTGAATTTCATACCTTATTCCATTTCATCCCAATATTTCATGTCTTATCTCATCATACCATAAATTTTTCTTTAATCATTTCATGTCTGACATCTAACTCATATCAGGGCTGTTATATTTCTCATAAAAATAATTAGTTAAGCGATTCTTTTTCATGATTTAAAAATTACCTGTTCCATATTTTAACTTTAGAATTGTTAAGTAAAATCATTATTCATTTAAATTAAAATAGTTAAGTTTCATATTATTTCTTGCAATGCTTTTGATGTACTTTCTAATCTGAATCAATTTTTATTTATGAAGTTTATTTCTAATATGTTTACTCAAGAACAAACGTTTAATATTATTTTAAACTGACTATAACTGATATGCATAATAATAATAAGATTAATTCAAATTCAAGGTTTTATGTTGAGCCAATTTCCTGTTGTTTTATTTCTATTTTCTGATAGTAGGTATGATTTTACGTCTACCTCAAAAATTATGCTCGTATTATTTTGAAAAATTATAAATTATAAATATAATTGCTAATTATTATATTTTCAATTTAAAAAATTCTAAAACAACTTTATTACCTTGTTTTCAAAATGTAAGTTAGCTTTCATAGATATTTCATATTTAATAATATTGTTTGGTAGCTAAAGCTTCCATTCCAATTAACTAGCATTCATAAATTCATTCCTCCATTCCTCCTTTACATCATACATTTAATTTAAGTGTTTCTAATAACTTTTTGAAAAATGTATGATCTTTTATTTGTTACTTAGTAATCCTAACCTTCTTTATCAGTTCTATAACTTTTCAAAGCATGATGAAGTTTAATAATCAATAATAAAATCATTTCAGTCTTTTAATAATTTGTTTTTTGTTAAATATGTATGATTAGAATAATTTTGAATCAACTATCATCCATTATTATTGAAAGTGTCTCCATAAAATGAATAATTGATTTAACCTAAATTTTTATTTAAAAATCCTCGTTCAAGCAAATCGAAATTAGATATTTTCAAGAAATGAAATATTTTTTAAGTAATATATTTATATGTATGATAATTCGTTATTTTCAAAAATTATCAAACTTCAATCATCATCTCCCTCCTCAGAGTTTTTTCCTACAAACATAATAATTACGAATATGAAACCCAATATGAGCAGGAAAGAAACACAATAAATTAATGGCACTGTTATTGCATAATCTTTTTCGGTTAAATTGAATGACTAATCTAATTTATAATAGAAGATACAAAGGCTGAAATAATCAAATGTGCTGAACTGACAATCAGCAGTTCAAATATCATAACTAACATTCCACAAAATAAAAATTTCCCCCAAATATCTATAAAATAGATCATTAAGAAAAACCAAAAAATGCAACTTAAAAACGCTATGAATATCATATAATCTAGAATGACCATAATTTATTTACTTTTAAATGAATACTCTTGTTTCTTGTACCATAGATAAATCACTAACAATAAATTTGCCATAAATAAGTAAAAAATACTGCTGATGACTAACGAAGCTAGGTTTACGTTTAAATTTAATATTACTTCCATTATCAAACCTTATTAAAAAATAATAGCCCAAAGTAGCACCAGATAAAATAAATGAAAAAGAAAATAAAGCAAATAATATCCAACTTATTTTATTAGGGTTTCGAGCCTCTATATTATTAGCGGTTACTTCCTTAAAATTTATTTGATAAATGAGTATTGCAATTAGATCCATTACTAAAATAAACCCAAAAAAAAAAGACCCACGGGTGATTTTTTGAGTTTAAGCATTAAATAATTATTTTTATAAAATTGAGTTCTGCCCCTGAAACATAAGTATCAAATAAATTATTCCGAATAACAAAGTCATGAGTCCCATCACTTTTAAGATGAAATAAGTTTTTATAAGAGAGTAACTAATTTTCTAATCTACAGAAGCCTACTGTGCAGATGTCCTAAAAATAAATGATACATACTTATTCTTTTTAAATGGATTCTTTTCGCCCTCTAAAGGAAAACAATATACTAGATCCTAATTTCGATCTTCTGATATAAATCGAACTCCAGTATTCATGATATAAAATATTATATTATTAACTAGTATTATTATATGTATAAATTTGCTGAAAAACGATTTCTAAATCTTATTGCATATTTTAAAATTAAAAACATAGATTTTTTATTAAGCAAGATATCAATTTACAACTATATGGATGAATTGTTTTTAGAATGGCTGAATAATCTACACCATGAGAGCAAATAAATCATTTTTTATGAATGAAAAAAATACATGCATATTTTATTTATTATAATATTTGCTTTTCCTAAATTATATTATTGAATTTTAGAAAAAATAAGTAGGTGACAGTAGTCAGCAACATAATAATTGACTATACAAACATGAATAAATATTAGGTTATATAGGAAAAATAGGAATAACGATTTTTAGGGATTAGAATTCAGTCAAATAACAAAATGATATGCATAAAAATCTTCATTTATAATTAACATTTTAATGATTTAACTCATGCTAATCTATACATCATATTCAGCTCTAAAGATATATGTATTTGTTGAAATTATTAATTTTTTTTTAATTATATCTTCAGATGTTGGGCATGCTTAACAAATATCATTATTTTCATAGTATCCCAATAAACAAATTCATGATAGTCCTTATAATCTCCTGTATTTATTTGGATTGCAACTCAAACCATAAATTATCAAATTATGAGAAATAAGTCTAACATTTTTAATGTCACAAATTGGATTTGAAACCAGAATCATCAAAATAATATCCTTCTATGAATTCTGATCTTTATCAGCTATTATCAATTTGCTTATCTAACCAAATATTTAAACTAATTTATTTAAACAATAATTTGTTTCTGGAATTTTTACTATGTGCAATGATCATTAGATGATCCGTAACATTTTTACATAATTTATTACAAAATTAAGAAGACAACAATAAATTTAAACTAAAAAAACTACCAGATGCCATAATTTTGAATTAAAAGACATTACAAATTGTATCATCATAATATAATCATTAATTTAGATACAAATGACGGAAATGTTAGTCTTCATAATGGATACAAAATCTCTCTAATTTCCACATTATTTGTAACTAAAACTACAGTCTAAAATTTGCTATTGTTTTCCTTTTACATAATTGAAGATTAGAAATTGAACATTTAATTTGTTGAACGTATTGATATACATTTGGTCATATATGTTTATATGGATAAGCGCACTGTGTACATTCATATTCATCAAAACAAGCTTAAACATTCTTAAGGAAAATTCACGAATCTAAAATATTAATTACTGAAAAATTATTAAGGACAACACTGAAATGGATCTAATTTAATAATTGTATTATCAAAATATCCGTTAAGTGCAAGTATTTTCATCTGAACAGTATAAAAAAATGGACTAAATAATAGATAATAGTTAATAATCCGATAGAGCACAATATTTATCTTTAACAATATTTTTCTATCTAAAACACTCAAAAGTTATTAATAATGTAGGGAATATTGAGATATAATTATTGTTGATGTTTAATAAAATACCCTCCACTGCTTTAAAATTACATCCAAAAATTGTATCAAAATAAATAATTAAAGAATAATGTGGATTATCAATTGTATAGGTAATAAACAAATTATTTCTCTGTTGATACCTAAGAAAATTTTGTGGTTGCCAAACATAAAACCCTCTGAATACTGCTTTGTAAAATATGTAAAATCAATATATTAGTCTCCTTTTTAAAAGTCCTTGCTAATTAAGACCTCTAAAATAAAGATTTCATGTAAATTATTAGGAACTATAAAATAAATGAAGAGCCTCATAGATATACATTTTCTGGTCTAATAATTATTTAAAAATAGGGTATCTTTGTAACAACTATAGCACTTTTTCCATCTGAGACTTTTTCTAGCCAATTCACTTTCACACTTTAAAACAAAAGTTGGGACTTTAAGCACTTGCAATTAGAGAATAAATAATATACCACCTAGGATTAGAATTTCTATAAATAATTATATAATACATAAATTTCCTAGTTCTACAATAAAGATCTGATTACAATGTATCCCCTATATGATGCTGTGCTTTAAGCAAAATTTACATGTTATATGCCTCAAACTTGTCTCAATTATAATAAAATGGAGAATAATAATTCGAATTTATACAAATCGAAGTCCCGGAGTTGATAGGAATGGGGTTACAAATTAAAATGTGAAGTTATATGCTTATAGGATATTAAAATTGGGTTGTATGAATTGCCACATAAGGGCCTTTATTGTTTTTGAAAACTCCAAAAATTGCCCAAAATTTTTACTATATTAGCATATATTTGGATGATCATAAATTCTAATCCTCCAAAGTTTATTTACGCATAACTGTGAGCTTGTGGCTAAAGTCAAAGTAAATATTGTATTTTATTAACCAAATTATAAAGGATTCTACCTGGAAAATTAAAATTAGTAGTTCTAAACTTTATTATCCTTTCCACTAACAAAGAAATTTTATATCCAAATTTAAATGTGATTTTTGCAACTTACTTTCAAGTTTTTGAATTATTCGCTTCTGCTTCCCATCTTGAGGAGGATTGTTAAACTAGTGCAGTTCCTAAAGGATTTGTAAAATTTTAAAATAGAGTTCTGGATTATGTCACAATATATTTGAATGAGTAGGGGCATTTGTTATCAGCCCAGTATGGATAGTTAGATTAGTGAAAATCATTCTAGTAGACTTATCGTCTCCCCATTACTAATTAGATAAAATTAAGAAGTACATTCTCATAATTAGTTTACTATAAACAAAATAAATATAATCCTTCTGCATTAAATAAGTTTTATCCATAAATATGGTTATTACTCAAATTTTAAATATGGTCTCAAAATTAACTTTCCTCTAATTTGTTGTTGACTAAAAAATTCGATATACAGTTATAACTTAAATATAATATTAGTCCATTTGATACGTAGGTTCTAAACCTGAAGATCCTGTTGTAAATTATTCTAATAATAATTCATTTCATTTAGAAATGTATTAGTTTGATTCAATTTAGAAAAATCATATTAAGATTCAGTTAATTCAAATAAGAATTATTCTAATTATTAGGTCAGCTCTGAATCTTTTGTATTTAACTTATCTAATATCTCTTTGACACATTTTTCAATTTAGATTAAAGGAGGAAAAAATCCAAATTTTTTATTAAAATTAAAAAGAAAATTGTCTAAAAAAAAATGTTATTATTTGTTAATTTATTTATATCTTTGGCATTTTGCTTGAGCAACTATTAATTTTGATTGACAAATTTAAATTGTTATAATGCACCTACAGTTGTAATATTTCCAATAAAGTTTTTGTTTTATTCACAAATTATATTTACGCAGACTTATATTAATTTTGTAAAGAATGAGGAGGATTTGAATTTTTAATCCACATCAATAACAACCAAAGGTAATACATAAAATGTGCATTTAGGTTTTATAATCGAATATGATTGTAACGATTCATAAAGTTTAACTATTAAATTGAATGCTTTTGTTGAACAAAGAATATTAGTCATTAATTATTTTAATAGGAAAGCACCAAAAAATAAAACTATTACATATAAAAATCCTAATGCTTAGTCTGGATTTCTAATATTAACAAGTCTTGTTATACGAAAGAAATAAACTTTTTGAGGTAATTTAATAAACTCCAAAAGAAGTTTCTGTAGGCATATCTAATACAATTAATTTAAATCAAATTGGTTATCAAATTGTTTTGGGCACGGATGAACCTTGTGTTGATTTACGCCTATCAAGTCCTATTGAGGCTGTTTCAAATGCTTAGCCTATTCTCCTTAATAAATTTTTTCAAACCCCTTATTGGGTTTTATTTTAACTCTGAGTGATCTTATAAGTCCATCGTTTATATTTCAATGAATCAGTAGGTGATCCTTTGTTTACAAAACATACTCATTTGAGAGTATGGGTTTCCACATAATGTTCTATGTAAATTAAACCTTTTCTATTTAACAAATTTAAATAGTCCAGAAATGTTAGTTAGAATTAAATATTTAATCATCTATTTAGGTTAAATATGATGAAAAATCTAAAATTTTTAAAGAATTAGAAGAACCTTAGATCCTAACTTTTATCTGGCCTCAATTTGGTCATAACTGATATTTCGAGGACGATATAGAGAGATAAGAATTTAAATGCAATTGAAAATAGGAATAGTTAAAAGGACCTTAGATCCTAACTTTTATCCCACCTTGATGGGGAAATTACTGAACTTCAGAGGACGATATAGAGGGATATGAGATTTATGGAGTCTAAGCAGAAACTCACTCTACGTTTTATCTTCCTCTTGATATCTGAAATTTTATCACATCTAGGATGAGCTGTCACTAATGACCAGGACAGTAGTAAAGCAGCATGAGGAGACACTTTTTATGGCTATTCTGGTTCCTAAAAGATTTACTCAATAGTTTATTTCTTTTCTAAAAAAAAGTATAAAATAGTTTGGCAAATTACAATGATATTGGCGAATTACGTTTTGCTTTCATATATTCAAAATAATTAATAAGTGGAACTATGGGAAAAATATCCCAATATAATAATTATTTATTTATTTAAAAAGAAAAATGCAGATGAGATGTAATTAAGTTTTCATTCTATAATAGGAATTTGCATAAATATTACAAGCCCAAATTTAAGACCCTATTGTAATTTTTGCTTGCCTCTCCATGACAAATAACTTAATAGGCTAACTCCTTTGGATCTTATAATGAATGTATTTAGGAAAGAATCCTTTAGGTTCGTAATGTTTAAAACAATGTTGGTTTCCTTTAAAAATCTTCAGAATTAGTTCTCTCCTTATTATAACTTTAATAATGATTAAAACCTAATTAGATAATCATAGATTGAAATATTCATAAAAGGTTTAGGATCAATAGAAGAATGCGAAAAATGCTATTGAGAAAACTTAATTAATCAATTCAATAAGTAAATGAATTGTTTTCGAAGTACTAAAAATATTAAAGAATCACACTAGTATAAACAATAATTATAAAATAGATTCCATTCAGCATAGGTTAATTTATATTAGAATAACAAAAAATGTAGAAAAATGAAAACCAAATATCCTATCGTATATGAAATCATGAATAAAAATTCTATTAATAACAGGAAAGTTGTTTCACATTTGCTTTTAATAAAGATTGCTCATATGTATCAGCTGCTGTAGGAATTCAATAAAAATATATGAATTCAGTCAAGGAATTTTGTAATATATTCAACTCTTAAATCAGCATTAGGTGAATGTGAACACTCTTAATTTCATAAAAAAGTCCAATTAGCTTATATCTAGATATTTTGAATCGGTCAAGCATTAATACTAATGAATCAATTGCTCATAAGTATTTAAACAATGCGATTCTCGTATAAATTGCTTAATTATTAATAATAATGAAGATATTATTATATCAAGTAGTACTAATAAGACTATTAAGTACTGGACGAAATCTGCCAAAAAGCAATAACAGATCATAATGTTTAAGTGTATTAATTAAGTTTTATTGGTCAAATAATCTTAGTAATTGAGCATTCAGAATAGTACAAATAGTGGATGGTAATCTAAAAAATTCAAGTTAATTGTGAAGGATTGAGATTATGTTTTATCAACAATAATCTTTTCATATTTCAACCTTTCAAAGAAAATTTGATGTATATCTATAAGATGAATAATGTAAGTAATGAGCTCACTAAAACTAAGTATATCGAGGTGGGTTTTATATTCTTACCATATTATTATATTAAATCAAAAGATTTACTCTTGAGTAAACGCGATAAGCATATCAATGTAATGAGAATGACAGGCAATGAAGAATTTAAAGTTGAAGCAGGCAATGAATTTATTGTTTGGAAGCACTAATTTCAGGATCCTTGAATTCCTATAAGCAAACAAATATAGAACAAGACTTAGAAAGATGTAAGGAGCTGCAACAAGAGAACAAATTAAATTAATTCCGATTTCTGAAATATGTAGAATGGGATGAAAATTTCAAAAAGAAGATTCTTGATAGGAAAGGGGAGTTAGAAAGAAATTCCATAAATTCATTTAGCACAAAGAACCAAGATCGAGAGGGACAATTATCTATCTAAATACCATTATGATTAATGGAGAGCTCATTCTTAATCTAGCCCTTGATTGCCAAAATAAACTCAATACAATAAAGGGTCATATCTTCAACATGTTCAAAAGACCGTTAATAACCAAATTGATTCATTTTTTTTCCAAATGGGTAGATATTCAAGGTAACCAAGATTTTGCAAAAATTTCTTTTTTTTCAGAAATGAGTGGAGAATCCAGATTCCTGAATAATGATATTATCTTGTGCTTATAGCTTTACATGATCTTTGGAAATTATTCAAGCTACAGTCGTAGTTGGGAATTACTTGGAAACTTGAATATTCAGAGAGATTGGATAATTAAATAAATATTTATTTTCTCCGCATTTAGTCTAAAACTAATTTGGGTTATTCATTTATGATTCTCTCTATAAAAAATGGATTCATTGTTGTAAGTGAGCTTTTAATTGAATATTAGTCTTTATCAATCCCCTTTACATCCAAAACAAGCCATCTACCAGCACCCAAACGTTGTTTCATCTAGATAAAGCAGAGTATTTTTAAAGTGGCCAATTTTAAACAATATTCTTGAATAGTGTTGCTGGTAGGATATTCCGATTCTTATCATAAACTTCATGAAAACAATTAGATTAATTCTTTTGGATTGATGTTTAATTATTTCAAAAACATGTTGCGCATGTTAATTGCTAGATGATAAATAGTTTCCAATTTTTATACAGTTTACAATACCCATATTTCATGCTCTTTTAGAAAATCAAATCCTTCTATAATAAATTTAAATCTTGAAAAAGGCTAAGGGGTGAATATACTAAAGTTGGATTCTTTAAATAAGCAACTAACGTTTTTAAAGTAAAATTCTATTCAAATGCTTTAGTAGTGCTAATTTAAGTTGATAATTAATTGGATAAACCTAAGGTTTCTTTTTCTTAATATTTTTCCTAAACATGATGTTCTTTATTATTCTATTTAGATAAGGTATGAGGTCTTCTAATAATTTATTATTTTTCTCAACTGTATTTAAAAATAGAATGAACCTTAAATCGTTCAATTGCTAATTCATCTTGAGATAATAATCGTTAATAAGCTGGAAACCATTACTCTAATATTATGTAGAGATTTCGATTATAGTGAATGGGCCAAGACTTTAGTCATAATTGTCATCGATAATAATAAATTTAAGTGATGCTCAATTATTATACATTCAGTGCACAATCTATAATTGATATTTGGAGAATGAAATATCAATATTTTTATAATCAATTTGAATTTACTTCTGGCGAATATGTTGAAGACTTTTTTATATTTATATTCTGAAATCATGCCATATATTTTTAAAACGACATTTACTTTATTTATTAATTAAGGCTAACAAACTTAAGAGCAGTGGATGTCAATAAAAATTTAATAAACTTTCAAAAATTAAATGAGGCTACTACCTCTTTAAAAGGGTTTTATCTAAGTCTAAGATTAAAGGAGATATTTTTTTCAGATCCGAGTACTTATTTGGTATTGCTACAAGAAAATATTTTAGTTTACCATCAAATCAGCTTACTATAATGACTTTATAGAATAACTTTCCGAAAATGCAATAATGTTTACAATATAAAAATTAGCAGACATTTAGATTGCCGATTTTAATACAGAACATTATTGAATAAAGAATGACTTATCAATATTATTCACCCTTGATTGTTAAAATGATATTTTCAAGGTGCTGTAAAATTTTTTCCTTATTTCAATTATGAAAAAAGAGCTCAAGTATATTTTTTCATTTAGATAAGATTGTTAGAAGATTTGCCTAGATCATTTGGGAAAACTAAGCATAGTAGAATGTTCAAATCAACAAAAGCTCAAAGAAAAATTGAGATTATTTAAATTATAGGTTTAAACAAGAGAACCACTTGATTCCATGAATTTTTAAAAGAAGAATTAATCTGAAAAAACATAATTTTGAATTAAAGAAAAAATTATAAAAGCATAATTCAAAGCAGAATTAAATTTTTCATCCAACTCCAATAATGAGGACAAATAAATATGCGCATTCTTAATTCTTTAGAAGATTATTTTTATCATGTTTATTAGGCCAATACAGATCATGAATTGAATAGATCAGAGAGTGGGGATTCTATTCATTTTTTCTTTTTTTTATTAGATTTCTAATACCCGAATAAATCAGCACATTAACTTAATTGCTTTGATTATTAATTCAAGTGTATTATTCCAAATAAAATTAATCATTTTTACTCCACTTCATTGTAATTTAAAAAATCGTTATTTTGCTAGCTCCTACTAAGGCATCCTTTCTCAATTTATATACTTGTATTCTATTATTAAAAGAAATTGAATTCTTATAAAATTCAATGTAATTAGTATGTATTTTCATCGAAGATCCTTGTTAGGACCCATATGCCATTTTGACATTCAGTAGGAATGGTATGTGATAATATTTTTTCCCTGTGAGGACTGTTACTACCCTCAGATTGAATATGTGTTCGTCTAATCAAATATCCTCCAAAAGGCCCTATCTAAATCTAGATAAATAAAATGTTTGTTGAGCTCTACAAAATCATATGACACAGCCTTTTTAGATTAAGACATCTGCTTAGTGACCTTGTATACTTAAAAATTCTATGAAAATTAAGAGCTCTAAAAGATAAGCTAATTTTATTGGATTGTTACAAGATCTTTTATACGCATGGAGAGAGGATTATTTTAGACCAACAAATTAGTATTTATTCTCACCCTTAATTATATCCATAATTGATACTTCATTTTAAAAGATGTTGAAGTTATAGAGTAGTGAGTATTGCATAAAATTCATTTGACTATTCATAGATCAGTGTTAAAAAGGAGAAGAACCTAGTTAATATTATTACAGAAAAAAAATCACGGTATTTGTAAAATAAAAACAAAGGAATCATTGATTTAAATAATTTACTTATGAAATATTATTGTAGTGTTAGATAGGGTAAAAAGTATCCGTTATCTAGAGGTTTGGAAATCGAAATTATCTATGATTGTACGTCTTAAAAATTTATAGAAATTTTCTTATTTTCAGAAATCTTTACAAAGGAGAATTATCTATTTATAATGATGTTACTCTCATACTAAGAGTTTAAAACTTACTACCTGAAGTAAGTTATTTCAAATTCTTAAGTTCAGCAGTTTTGTTCTTTTTTTTTTTCCCTAGCCTAGAGCAATGATTATAATTCCTAGGTTTCAATCGTTACTATTAATCGTGGTAATAGTCCATCATGCCAAAATGATGCTATTCATTTATCTCGATGATTTATAAGTTATTTTCCTATTCTTATGTGATTATATCCTCTAAAGTATTTAGTGGATTGGCTTTTTAATCCACATACTATCTACTCATTTTTATTAATTTGATCCTCTAATTTCCTTAGCGAAATATATTCCTAATTTAATAGAAAATCGGCATTTCCTCTTAGAATGTGGAGAAATCTCTTATTGAATTAGAATTACAAGGGAGTAAAAAGCACCCGAGATTAACTAGGAAAAATGCCATAACTGCAAATAATCTTTTCCCTATAGTTTAGTAATGAATACCTTTTCAATCTTGTCCGGTTATATTAAATTTAAGTGTGATACAGTTTATTAGATACTATTATTGTGATATGGTAGAGGAAGGGGAATTCAAAAGTTAAGGGATGGTTTATTTGAACCTAAAATTTCCAAAATACATTCCTATTGAATGCCTTCACAATTGCATTTTCAAATTAAAGTTATATTATAACTCCTAACTAAATTTGGAATCATAAATTATAGTATGATAGTAGTACTACCAACAACTGATGTTTTCAAATTAAGTTTTCAAATTTTAATTCGGTTTAATCATTGGTCTTTCTTTTCTTTTTTGAATTATGATCTTAATCTAAATATAGGACTTCTTACCTAGTTTCAATTGGAATAGGTTTATAATAATATTATTGTAATAAAGTAATTACAATAGCCAAAGTTGTACACTCATATAGCACAATAAATTAACTGGTAAAATAAAATTACGAAACTTAATAAGAAAGATATTACATTATAAAGATTAATCATTCAAAAATTTGCATTTCATCTTAAGTTATATAATTTTACAATTATCATAAAATTAATCAATTTAAAAAAGAATTTGGCATTTTTGATGAAGGTTATAATTGAGTATAATATTGTTTTATTGTTTAATATAAATATAATTTGAATTTCTAAGAAATGTTAGAATGAATGATGAATTCGTCAACAATTAGGTATGAATTTTGCTAATTTAACAATAAAATTTAGATTGAATCAGAAATGTTTAGTACAATTTGAGTGAATTATCAATAGGTAAAACAGTATATATATGGTCAATTTAAAAATGTTATTAATTGGAGTATTAAGACCTAGAGATTAAGAAAAAGGGAAAGATCCAACGGAACTAAAGAGGTCTTGAAACTTAAAATGAAAGAGGTTAATGGGACCATCATTAATT